GCCCAATCGCGCGTCAGCAATACGGCTACGTGTCCAGCTCTTGATGCGGTTTTGCTGGCTGAAGCCGCGCTCGCACTTGACGGTGCTCAACGGGAGCACCACCAATGCCTCCCACAGCCGCACCATGTTCGGGTACGCGCCTGCATAGTCCGACGACTGCAGCATCACTGTCAGGGACTTGTAGAAGTTGAGGGAGCCGTGGTTTTTATCCATCGTGTGTAGGAATATGGTCAACTCCCTCTCTCACGTTCTGAAATCGACACCTGTCACGAAAAAGGAACAGAGCAGGACAAAATATGCATGAGTGTATTTGACAATAGAATCAAATCGCAACGCGACCCACCATAATATACCTGGAAGGTAGTGGTGAAAGAGCTTGTCCAGCTGTGCCAGCCACTCGCGACACCTGCGCATGCGCAGGGTGTTGTCATCGGGATACAGCGCAGGGCGGCGTATGCCGTGTTGGCGTTTTCCGTGCCGTACTTAATGCATGTGCTACAGTTCAACAGAGGGAAACCGTCGTCAGAGCGGAGTAAAACGAGCCAGGGGAACAAACCATGCCAAGAGTTATAGTAGCGCCTGTGCGCCTTGGCAAACTCGACTTATGGATCACGTGTAGTGGACGGCGCGGTATCTTCTTCTTCATCGTCGTCCGGATCGTTGTCGGCCACCTCATCGACTGGACTCGGCTCCCGGGTGAATCGGAGCTTGCGCTGACGCCATTTTTGCTGCCCAGCCCAGTTGCTAGTCTTCCGCTTGAATGCCTTCCGGCTCCCGTCCAGCATCAGTCGGTTGAGGTGGTTGGCTGGCCGCAGCGGGCGCAGGGGTCGTGGAACCAGACGCGGGCAAGGAAGGCCCATCCTCCTCACGCGTCTGTATTGAAGGCGTAACCGGCACATCAGCTACGGGCCGCAAAAAACTGAGGCATGTTCGTGGGGGAGAGAGACTGCGTGCTGTGTCAGTAGCATCGGCGTCGTCATCGTTGGCGTCTGGCGCCATAGCTAGGAGTACAATAGCACGGTAGGAGTGAGCAGAGTGGTGAATGAACGAACTGAAGCATGGAACAGAAATAGAGGAAATTACAAAGCAAGGAGAGAGACCCCTCTTCCGTGCGGTGGTGAGGTGAGGCTTCCCGCTGGGGTGAGCAAAGTGGGTCGGTGGGTGGGTGTGATGTGTTGTGATGGGGGGGGGAATCTGGACGTTGCGGTGGGTGGGGAGTGTGCTGCAGAGGGGTGGGTTGTGATTGGCTCTTTAGGCAAGATTCTGCTCGTTGTGCTGGCGAAATTTGCTGCCAGGCTGCACCGCGCTGTGCTGGCAGTGCGGGCCGTCAAGGCGACGCGCACAGAGCCGAATCTGAGATGTTGCCGCTGATTGCGGCGAAATCTGGGGCAAACGAACGGATTGTGCAGGACACGAACACACCCCCGCCCCCCCCCCCGAAATTCGACAGTGTCGGATTCGTATCTGGTCTTTCGCATCAGTCCTGTAACACAAGACCGCTCTGAAATATCAGCCCTATGAAAAGGATTGCTTTTTATGAACAGGGTTTAACTACAAACAGCTCTGAAAAAAAAGGTAAAGATTCACTACCCAGCCTTATACTGGTAGTAAGGCTCATAAGGGTGATTCACCCTGCTATCCAGAGGCCTGCTTCGCGCGCACTGTTTCACCAAACCATGGCCTGGCCGAGTCGGCCTACGCTTCGGGACTAGCCCGAACCTCGATGCCAGCCTAGCACTAGCTAGCTCGCACGCACCGCGTAACCGTTGCATGTTTTCGCACATACCGGTAAGTATGCGCTCATGCCTTCGCTCATACTTTGTACTCATTTGACACCTAGTGCAATCCTCGCTACGGTATCTCATTTCCATTGCACCCGTAACAAATACACACAAAAAACCAACACAGCGAACTCTTCACCCACCAATTCCCACCACACAGGCCAAACTACCCAACCTCCCTCCCCGCTGACTCCTAATTCCCGTTCACAACATCTCCAGGAGTCTTTGCAACACAATGGACAGCTTAGAAAAACTTCACACAACTTTTTCAAACTGCCCGCGCAGTCCGCCGTCAGGGAACCTCACAGTGTGAATGTTCCCATAGAACCCACTCGAATCCTTTAGTATCTCCTTCAGAGTCGACACAAGCGTTGCTGTCCGTTCCGCCGGATTCTTCCCAAGAAAGCCATTGCATTTGCAGGGGGATTTCAGGTCCACTTGTTCATACTTGCACGGCAGATCCAACACCTTGGGACCGTTTGATCCCTCTGTTGCCTTGTGCACATGTGTCATGATGATTGGGCACATATCCATCCAAACATTATTGCCATTTACAACCGGCATCGACAAGGAATAAGTTGTTACTGCGTACTCGAGCCACACTGGCTGGCCGTTTTCCCTGCATATCACACCAGAGAATTGGGGTTTGAGTGAGATCACATGACGGAGTTGACTACAGAAGGAGACTCATCAGAGCACCCATTGGCTCCTCTAACAGGCTGTTCGAGCAGCGGGGGATTCAGGCCTGGCGAACTCACTTGTGGACAACCAATCCCATTAGTGCCCATGCGTATTCGTCGTTGATGGCTTTCAGGGCGGCTTCAGTGTAATTATTGGGAACCTCTAGCACGCCAAACAGGGTGGCATTGAAGGCGTCTGTTGAAAGAGAAACCGAAGGGGGAGGTGGAGAGGAGGGAAGATCAAGGCGGAGGGGAGGGAAGGAGGGGGGTAGGGGATAGTGGGAGGGGATGGTGGAGATGAAGGGGGAGCTTGGCGGTGAGACATTGAAAGAGAGCCTCCACGGGTGAGTTCAGGTTGGAAGAGTCATGCGCCTTTGGATTGGTGACACAGAAATCCACGGTGGACATATCGGTGTTCATGAGGAGGAAAACATTCGGGCATGCAAACCTGGAATTTCGAACTGACCAGAAGAAACGGGAGGGATTTTTCTGGAAACAGGTTTCTTGGCGCAGGCAACCGCCACCAGCGCCGCCGCAAGGAACGCTGCACGAAGCACACACACGACGAGAGGCAAAATCAGCGATCGGGTTACAATACCTGGTTGACACTTGGCAAGCAATGAGTTTGGATTGAGCTGGCATTGGTGTCGCGAACTCACGCCAGGTAACGCTTACCAAACAGTAAGAGGCAGCGAGCACGAATGAAGGCCATGAGGTAAAGAGTAGTCAACAAGAAATCAGTTTGCAAGAGGGAGCAAGTTACTGCTTCTAGTGAGAGGGAAACGGAATGCGGAAGTGGATGAGATTCTAGGAACTGGAATCACCCTTGGTCGCGTTGAGAGTCGCGATGGAAGGACCAGAAAGACCCAGCGTTTACGGCTGAAGGTGGAAACGGACAGGAGATTCCGCAATGGATTTGGAGGTGAATCGAACATGTTATCGCGAACCATCAATAAATCCGGCGAGCGCATCTGTCGGCGTCGAATCTAAATTCGACATTCTTGCCAAGTCCGGCCTGCTATTGGCCGCAACTCAATAACAGCAACTCTAGGCGAGAAAAGAGAGGCGAGCTACGATTGGCTGATGCGAGGAAGCTATGATGCAATTGAGTGTGACGCGTTCGTGAAGCTTGTTGGAGTCGTTCAAGCCATGGCAGAAAGCACGGTGGGCGGAATCAGGAAAAAACAGGAAGGAAAGCGAATGAGGAAAATAGAGCCGTTGAGGTGCAGTGAGTTTATACACGGTAAACCGTGGTACTGGTTCTGTACCACCTTCGAGCCAAGGCACCAAAACAGACCGAGGTACGGCATGTGATTTGTGATCCACTTTTGCTTCTCGACTATATCAGCGGTGCGATTCGGTTCCTGACGTTTCATATTGCGTGCTGTGCGATGCAGCGGATGTCGAGACGATCAGGACGCCGTAGCTCTGCATGTTCGATCACCGAGCCTGTCGAGTTAACGCGTTCCTGGCTGACTTTGGCCGAAACAGTGTCGCCAAAGCTTGAGGTTGGGCAGAGGCTGGGAATAGCCTGGGCTTTTCCTCCTGACCTTGGGCACTATCGCGTATGCGACTGACAGCAGCGATATTTCACACATCCGTCATAATAATTACCTCGTCACGCTATGTGAGTAAATTTCTGATAAAAGGCGAGGATTGCGAAAACATTGTTCAGTAACAATCTCGTCAAGTCGTGGAGTGATCACGGGTTACAGGGCGTCGTGTGCGCGCGGGTTACAGCGCGGATTACACCGCGGGTTACAGGTCAAGTTAAGGCTTGGGTTTCGGGTTAAATTTAAGAATCCTGTTTCGCGCTCGTTTATAACGCGTACGGCCTGCACCTCGACCAATTACACGTCGACAATCTCACGCTCGCCTCCTGCTGGGTCCCCGCTTCTCGCGGCGGCAAACCCGCCGTGCCTTCCGCCGCAATTCCCGCCAAACCGCCGTGTTTTCCCGCCATTTCGATCTCTACATCCCAGAACTCCTGTTCTTCCGCGGCTCGTACTTCCGCGATTCGCGGCGCGACGAGCGGTTCCACGCGGAAGTGATGGTCGCGCTGATGGTCGGCGAGAATCATCGCTCACAGGTACGTCAGCTAGTCAAATGCTGCTGTGCATGCGGGCTTTGTCGAGTCACTTCGACGTGACTTGCACCTACCACCTCACCTCTCCTCCCCCCTGGTCCCCCTTCATCCCGTTCTCTTCCCCACGTGTTTCCCGGTTAGGGGCGGGGCGACGCAGCACTGGCACGCCAAGACGCCCCCGCACCTCTTCCTGCCCACCGGGCCTAGAGGCCTGCTTCGGATGATTAGGCTCGGGAACAACGAGGCGCCGTACCTCCGGGATTGGTAACCGATTCAAATAGAAAAACCATCAACTTGTGAGAACCATCAAAGGTTAAAGCAGTGATGTGTGTGTGTGGTGCTGTGCGGTGCTGCGTGTGCATGCATGGGTGCCTGATGCAGGTGCTGTTTGAGAACAGGGTGGAGAAGGCGGGGCTGCTGGAGGCATCGTTGAGAGATGCACAGGACAGGCCAATGCAGAACAACCTGGGGATATCGCTGTGCCGCCAATGGTATGCTGAGAAGTGCAAAGCGGTGCTGTCCGGTGGTGTGCTGTGCAGTGCGGTGCTATGAGGCGGAGTGCATGGGGGTGATTCGTGCATTGCGGATGTGAGGAAGTAAGAGACGAATTATTGTGCATATACGAGGCTGCGTAGTCTCTCTCTTATCGCTTTCTTTCTCATCACTTTCTTTCTGATCACTTTCGTTATTATCACTTTCTCTTATTAACACTCTCTTCCTTATCACTCTCTATCACATCCCACCCACTGCGCAGCCCACCCTGCTAGTGTGGGGAGGCAGCGATCAGCTCTTCCCCTTGCCGTTGCCCATCGCATGCACCAATAAGCCTCCCTCTCCCTCCCTCCCTCCCTCCCTCCCTCCCGCCCTCCCTCCCTCCCTCCCTCCCTCCCTCCCTCCCTCCCTCCCTCCCTCCCTCCCTCCCTCCCTCCCGCCCTCCCGCCCTCCCTCCCTCCCTCCCTCCCTCCCTCCCTCCCTCCCTCCCTCCCTCCCTCCCTCCCTCCCTCCCTCCCTCCCTCCCTCCCTCCCTCCCTCCCGCCCTCCCTCCCTCCCTCCCTCCCTCCCTCCCTCCCTCCCTCCCTCCCTCCCTCCCTCCCTCCCTCCCTCCCTCCCTCCCTCCCTCCCTCCCGCCCTCCCTCCCTCCCTCCCTCCCTCCCTCCCTCCCTCCCTCCCTCCCTCCCTCCCTCCCTCCCTCCCTCCCTCCCTCCCTCCCTCCCTCCCTCCCTCCCTCCCTCCCTCCCTCCCTCCCTCCCTCCCTCCCTCCCTCCCTCCCTCCCTCCCTCCCGCCCTCCCGCCCTCCCTCCCTCCCTCCCTCCCTCCCTCCCTCCCTCCCTCCCTCCCTCCCTCCCTCCCTCCCTCCCTCCCTCCCTCCCTCCCTCCCTCCCTCCATCCCTCCCTCCCTCCCTCCCTCCTTCCTTCTCCCTCCCGCGCTCTCTCTCCTCCTATCCTTGCAAACCGTGTGTGCGCACACAAATGCACACACGCACGCATGCACACACTCTCGCACACACGCACGCATTAACACACATGTACATGCGCACGCAGCAGCAAACACACAGCTACCTCGTTGTTCTCCCTTTGTTCTCGGAGTCCAGCTTGCACCCTGCTTGCACATTCTTGCAACCCTCTTCACCTTTCCCCCTCTCCACCTTTCCCCCTCTCCACCTTTCCCCCTCTCCACCTTCCCCCCTCTCCACCTTTCCCCTCCTCCACCTTTACCCCTCTCCACCTTTTTCACTCTCCACCTTTTCCCTCTCAACCTTTCCCCTTCTCCACCTTTCCCCCTCTCCACCTTCTCCCTCTCCACCTTTCCTCTTCTCCACCCGTCCCCCTCTCCACCTTCCCCACTCCACACCTCTTCCCCTCTCCACCTGCGCCCCTCCCCATTGCTCACATACAACTTTCCCTCGCCCTGCTCTCTTCTCTCTCCTCCCCAATCGGGCACTTTCGCTCGTCATGTTAGCTTAAGGTGATTGAGAAGGGCGCTCATGCCATTCAGGTGTGCTGAGGGTTGCGGAGGGATGTATGTGCTGTTCTGAGGGGTGCACATGCTATCATCTGTGCATGCACAGGGAGGGGTGAATGAAAAGGGCGTTCATGCCTTTCACGTGTGCCAGCTGTCATAAGGGGCGTGCGTTTGTCTGTGCATGTTTGCATCTTATCACATCCATCTTTCCCATCTCTCCTCCCCATGCAATATCGCACATCCCATTCTTGCTCAACTCAATCCAACCCACCTCTTTCAGCAGTATTGCCCTCCTCTTACTCACCAACCATCTGTCACAAAGATGGTGGGTGAGGAAGGAAGGAAGCAAGCAGGAAGGCTATCTGCTGCTGCCCACCTGCAAACCCCAACCAAAGATGAACTGCGCTGGCAGCACTGGCAGCCGCTACTCGGGGCATACATTATTATGTTGCGATGCACTTAGCTATAGCCCAATTGGGGCAGCATATGTTGGTCAGTGCAAAATTAATATGCCTGCCCCGTTTACACTCTGTGCCCGTTACCCTAGTCCTTCCTTCCTCCCGTTCGGCTCTCCAACAATTGTAATTGATCTCTTGTTTGCCGTTGTGAACTGTGTGCGGCACAGGGGGAGCAGGAGTAGGACCTAAGGAATAAATTGGAACTGGAAGTATCAAGGCAGACCAGAAGAGTGAAGAGGGCAGCGGCATGCACCGTCCCTCTCTCCATGCTCCTCCCCTCTCTCCATGCTCCTCCCCTCCCTCCATGCTCCTCCCCTCTCTCCATGCTCCTCCCCTCCCTCCATGCTCCTCCCCTCTCTCCATGATCCTCCCCTCCCTCCGTGCTCCTCCCCTCTCTCCATGCTCCTCCCTTCTCTCCATGCTCCTCCCGTCTCTCCATGCTCCTCCCCTCTCTCCATGCTCCTCCCCTCTCTCCATGCTCCTCCCCTCCCTCCATGCTCCTCCCCTCCCTCCATGCTCCTCCCCTCTCTCCATGCTCCTCCCCTCCCTCCATGCTCCTCCCCTCTCTCCATGCTCCTCCCCTCTCTCCATGCTCCTCCCCTCTCTCCATGCTCCTCCCCTCCCTCCATGCTCCTCCCCTCTCTCAATGCTCCTCCCCTCTCTCCATGCTCCTCCCCTCTCTCCATGCTCCTCCCCTCTCTCCATGCCCCTCCCCTCTCTCCATGCTCCTCCCCTCTCTCCATGCTCCTCCCGTCTCTCCATGCTCCTCCCCTCTCTCCATGCTCCTCCCCTCCCTCCATGCTCCTCCCCTCTCTCCATGCTCCTCCCCTCTCTCCATGCTCCTCCCCTCTCTCCATGCTCCTCCCCTCTCTCCATGCTCCTCCCCTCTCTCCATGCTCCTCCCCTCCCTCCATGCTCCTCCCCTCTCTCCATGCTCCTCCCCTCTCTCCATGCTCCTCCCGTCTCTCCATGCTCCTCCCCTCTCTCCATGCTCCTCCCCTCTCTCCATGCTCCTCCCCTCCCTCCATGCTCCTCCCCTCCCTCCATGCTCCTCCCCTCCCTCCATGCTCCTCCCCTCCCTCCATGCTCCTCCCCTCTCTCCATGCTCCTCCCCTCCCTCCATGCTCCTCCCCTCTCTCCATGCTCCTCCCCTCCCTCCATGCTCCTCCCCTCTCTCCATGCTCCTCCCCTCTCTCCATGCCCCTCCCCTCTCTCCATGCTCCTCCCCTCTCTCCATGCTCCTCCCCTCTCGCCATGCTCCTCCCCTCTCTCCATGCTCCTCCCGTCTCTCCATGCTCCTCCCCTCTCTCCATGCTCCTCCCCTCTCTCCATGCTCCTCCCCTCTCTCCATGCTCCTCCCCTCCCTCCATGCTCCTCCCCTCCCTCCATGCTCCTCCCCTCTCTCCATGCTCCTCCCCTCCCTCCATGCTCCTCCCCTCTCTCCATGCTCCTCCCCTCTCTCCATGCTCCTCCCGTCTCTCCATGCTCCTCCCCTCTCTCCATGCTCCTCCCCTCTCTCCATGCTCCTCCCCTCCCTCCATGCTCCTCCCCTCCCTCCATGCTCCTCCCCTCTCTCCATGCTCCTCCCCTCTCTCCATGCTCCTCCCCTCCCTCCATGCTCCTCCCCTCTCTCCATGCTCCTCCCCTCTCTCCATGCTCCTCCCCTCTCTCCATGCTCCTCCCCTCCCTCCATGCTCCTCCCCTCCCTCCATGCTCCTCCCCTCTCTCCATGCTCCTTCCCTCCCTCCATGCTCCTCCCCTCTCTCCATGCTCCTCCCCTCCCTCCATGCTCCTCCCCTCTCTCCATGCTCCTCCCCTCTCTCCATGCTCCTCCCGTCTCTCCATGCTCCTCCCCTCTCTCCATGCTCCTCCCCTCTCTCCATGCTCCTCCCCTCCCTCCATGCTCCTCCCCTCCCTCCATGCTCCTCCCCTCTCTCCATGCTCCTCCCCTCCCTCCATGCTCCTCCCCTCTCTCCTTGCTCCTCCCCTCCCTCCATGCTCCTCCCCTCTCTCCATGCTCCTCCCCTCTGTCCATGCTCCTCCCCTCCCTCCATGCTCCTCCCCTCTCTCCATGCTCCTCCCCTCTCTCCATGCTCCTCCCCTCTCTCCATGCTCCTCCCCTCTCTCCATGCTCCTCCCCTCTCTCCATGCTCCTCCCCTCTCTCCATGCTCCTCCCCTCCCTCCATGCTCCTCCCCTCTCTCCATGCTCCTCCCCTCTCTCCATGCGCCCTGCCGGCTGTCGTGCGTTGAGGCCATGGCTGCTGCGCTCTACATCTGGTGGGTGCACCTCACTGCACGCACTGCACACGTGGTGGGTGCTGTTCATGGGTGTAGGGGGATGCAACGCACACATGCTGGGTGCAACGCACTCATGCTCTTTAATTTAATCAAGTTCTTTCTCCGCATCTCATCCCCATTCAACTTTTCTGCGCGTGCGCCACCCCATCGTTTGTACTCACATCTCCCCCCTCTCCATGCACCACCCCCCTCACCATGCATCTCCCCCCTCTCCATGCATCTCCCCCCTCTCCACGCCCCCATCACCAACCAGTGGGGACAAGGAGACTGCCTCGGAGCTGCTCAGCCGCTTCAAGTGGGGCCACGCCTTCCTCTCCCTCAACATTCCTCCTTCCTCTCCACCACCCCAATGCTTCTCCCTTCCCTGTCCCACTACTCCACCCTTCCCTGCCCCTCCCACTACTGCCTGCTGCTCGTTTGGAGCGAGCTGCTGGAGGTGGGTGCAATGCGTGCAGGCGGGGCAGAGCACATGCCACATCGTAATTCCTCCATCCATCCCTTCATGCCCCTTCCTGCCCCTTCCCCCGTGCTCTTACCCTCCCCTGTGCCTTCCTCCGTCCCTCCCCTGTGCCTGCCTGCCCCTTCCCCCGTGCTCTTGCCTGCAGTGAGCTGCTGGAGGCGTATGCGGCGTGTGCGGACGGGGCGGAGGTGATAGCGGCGCAGCACAGGTGGATGGAGAGGGAGGCAGAGCTCGCACAGGCGAGGCATGACGGCACAGATGTGCCTTCCCCAGGTGATGCACAGATGTGCCTTCCCCAGGTGATGCACAGATGTGCCTTCCCCAGGTGATGCACAGATGTGCCTTCACATGGTGCATGGATGTGCCTTTCCCAGGTAGCGAGTTCGTGTTCAGTAAGAGCGTGTCCGAAGAGTATGTCTGAATGCGGTTGAAGAAGGGTTGGTTGGTACAATCCAGAGCGGTATATTGAACATTCAAAATGGTTGGGTAGGGTACTGTTGCAAGTACGTACTTTTTGGACCCGTACCATACACCTTCACCAGTTGTACCTTCCTCATTTTCATTTCCCAGCTGGAAATATACGAATGCACCTTCATCTGTCGCTTCAATTCCTTCTCTCCTTTCCAGGCAACAGCGGAAGCGACTCAGAAGGTTCTGATTCCGATGAAGATGCTGCACCTCTGTTCCGCAACCCAAATCATGGTGCTGGGTGGGGGAGAGGAGGGAGAGGAGGGGAGGATGAGGAGGATGAGGAGGAAGATGAGGAGGATAGAGATGGGAGGAAGGAGGGGAAGGATATTGGTGGTAAGGTTGAAGGGAAAGGTGAGGGACCAGGGGAGAGCACCAAACAGGGGCAGTGGGGGAGGGGGAGGGGGGGGATCACGGGAGGCAGACGAAGATGAGTAAAGTGCAAGCAGGCATTTGAGTGGGCCACTGTACAGAGTTTTGCAGGATGGCAGTAGATTTCCAGCGAGAAACAACATGGATATGCCTCCTGGGTACTGCCTTAACTTCGTGCAGTCACAGCTGCGTACCGGTATGTGCTGATTCTGATCTGACCACTCTTAGAAACCCAAAAGACTCGGTGTAGTCTATGCAGCGAATAAGGTAGTCGTGCTTAAATTAGGATAGTGAGTGTTGATTATTAAAAAATAAAAACTGAGGGTGACATATAAATACCATTGTAACATTTTCAAAGCAAACAATCCGTCTGAAGGAACTAAAAGAAGATTCTACTGTACAAGGAAGTACACACACTGGTAATCCCATTTCTAGTACTACCACACAAGTGAACCAGCCAACCTGTCAGGCAACAGTTTCCTAGCCTCCAAGCAACCGCATGCGGTTGCTCCCACCGCTGCTCCATTACCCCCCCCCACCTACTCTCCCCCCCCTCCCCCCTCCCGGATACGACGTCCTTGCCCCTGTCCATCCAGCTAGGGTCGCCTACGGGGAGCAAGCGACGGGTCGCGGCAGAGCTTCTTGGCTGCGTTGAACACGAGGCCCTCGGGGCACTGGCACTGCGGCTGGCCCTCCTTCACAACGCACTTTGCACTTCCACAATCATTCTCACACATGGCTGTTGTGGGCACCACAGAGGGACAAGCAATCCAGGCATGTAGAAGAAGGGAATGAATTTCCAGGCATGGCGAGGGGAATGAAAGAATCACGAAAAAGAAGAGCTTGGGTGTCTCGCTCTATCTTAGGGTATGTCTCCCGTTTCATTTGATTTCATCAGAATGAGCAAAGCACAAGCTAGTGTGCTTGGAGATCTTCTCTCATGTGCACGTGACACTCTTAACGTGAAGCAAAAATAACACCAGCGTAACGTGCATGCGCTCGCACTTACTGATCTCACAGCCAACTGATAACAGCGAACGGATTCCTTTGACCGTCCTGAGAGAGGGAGAGGTGAGGAGAGGGAAGAGCAAAGGTGAGGACGAGTTAGGGTCCATTCACACTACATCTACGAGACAGTGAAGCAATTTCTGGTGATAATAGAGCGGCGTACCGGAACAAACCATGCAGCACACCGGAGCAATTTCTGGTGATAATAGTGCTGCAAGCACACCGGAACATTCCATGCAGTTGCATGCATAACGCACACTCACTTGATCGTGACGGGGTAGGAACTGCCCTTCTTCGCAGGACGCGCGACAGTAAAGCGCAGCTTCTTCGTGCAGCCCGACTCGGCGTAGAACGAGAGGCTCTTGCACATGGCGCTGCTAGGGGCGTAGTCGGCAGGCGAGGCGGGGTTGGAGGCATTCCACACGACGGAGATCTTGGCGGTGCCTGCGATGGTGACGTACAGGTTGCCACACGCGCTGCTGCCACTGGCCTGCTCTGCCGGCAGCGGTGCCAAGAAGCTGGCGGGCACAATGCTTCTCGATCCTCCTTGCTGCAGTGCCACCGTCGTACGCACCAACGGGGCTGACCAGGTGTTGAGACGGACGATGCCAGATTGTGGCGGTTGAAGGTTGCGTGACGATGATGGGGGTTTGGAGGCAGGACAGGGGAGAGGAGAGGAAGGGGGCAGACAGGGGGGAAGGTGCGGGAGGGGTGAGGAGGGGTGAGGAGGGGTGAGCATTGCCTCTCAGCGGCGCCTCTCAGTGCCGCCTGCTCAAACGCTGAAACGCTGAGATGCTAAAATGCGAGCATATCAAGAAATGTATCGTCTACAGCTCAGCAGTGCAGCACTCACGAAAGCACGACTTGTCCGCCTCGTTGAAGGCAAAGCCCTCCTTGTTGCAATTGCACAGGAATTCGGTAGGACCGAGAGTGGTGCAGGAAGCCTCTAACCCACACACCGCGCTGCCGGTACACGGGTCTGCAGAGGAAGTGATGGGTGGTTCCGAGGTGAAGCAGGGAGAGCGGGTTAAATTAGTGGAAATGTTGCTGATGATTGTGAACTCACCCACATGCGCGCACTCGGCCACACACCAGCACTCACTCACCCACAACACATGTCTTGTGGTCGCTGTCGAATACCAAACCGTCCTTGCACACGCACAGGGGTATGTCATTGTCTACATCAACAGCGCAGGTGCCTTCCCCACAGTCCTCGTTCGCACACAGGTCTGCACAGAAATCGTGGTTGTTTCAAGCAAGGGGCAGAGAGGCACACACACCAGCACACAGGCAAGGTAGGGAAAGTGGGTCAAAACGAGACAGATTCTGCTTATAATTTTGCGTCAACCTCACTCCAGCACTCATACACACGCCAGCACGACAAGCCTACTGCCAGAGGTGTGTGGCAGTCAGCCTACTCACCAACTTCACCACCATCAACAGCGCTGGCGCTGGCGTGGGTCGCGAGGAAGCTAAAGGCAACGACACCCGCGACGAGTGCGGCGAGGCCACACAGGCCGGACAGGCGCGCGCAGGGCTTCATGGCGACGGGAGTCGGCGCGGGGAAACAGGAAGTTGGGGTTTTTGAGGTGCCTCAAAAGGCGGCCCGAGGAAACGGGAAGCCTGGGATCACGATGACGTCACGAGAAGCTTCAGGTCCGAGTTGAACCGCCGGGATGAGTTGAACCGCCGGGATGAGTTGAACCGCCGGGATGAGTTGAACCGCCGGGATGAGTTGAACCGCCGGGATGAGTTGAACCGTCGGGATGAGTTGAACCGCCGGGATGAGTTGAACCGCCGGGATGAGTTGAACCGCCGGGATGAGTTGAACCGCCGGGATGAGTTGAACCGCCGGGATGAGTTCAACCGCCAGGAAGAGTTCAACCGCCGGGACTGACGTCGCTGGTAGCCTCGGGTCGCGACGTGTGAAACGAAGACGTGCAATGAGCGAGGAGCGGTGGGAGAATGTGAGTGAGCCCTCGGGAGCGAGTGTCGGATTTATGTTGAGAGCGAGTGGTCAATCGCACATATTGAAATTTATTTCTAGAAATTGACTCGTGGATGAAGGAGAGGCGGGGTGGGGGTGAGAGGGAGGAGAGGAAGCTCAGGGGGATCGCGCTGCGCCGAGGCCCGGAAACCCGCATAGGGTCGACCTTAGGACTAGGCGATGATGGCGTTGGGGCAGCGAGAAGGTAAATCGGAGGTGTGGCGACTGTCGTCATGATGGGCACAAGGGGGAGGAACGCGAATGGATGGACGAGGGGACGGCGATGACGGGAGAAAAGGTTGGAAAGGCGCCAGCTAGCGGCTAGTGAACGCGTTTAGCTGGCCAATCCCTAGCTCCGTGGCGCGGCGCAAGGCAGAGGCGCAGCTTGAGTTGCGAGAACTGCGGGACTTGGGTGATTGCTTGTTGTGGTGGTAGTCAGAAAATGGTTGGAGGGGGGAATCATTCGAAACGGAGTTCGCTTGACGTGGTTGAAAACGGTAAATTTTTGTTTGGGCGCGGTTTTAAACTCTCACCGCTTAAAACCATAGCGCACCAGGATGAACCATTCAAAATGGTTGTGACGCGTTCGGTAACCTCTACCCTACATTTGGTTCCATCTATCGTTATTGACCGTATTCAACCACGTCAAGAGAACCCGAAACAAAACAGTATGATCCCATCGGAGTTCGTAGGTTAGTGTATGTTGAGGTTGGTATCTAGCGGCTCAGAGCGGTTCACTAGCCGCTAGCTGGCTCCTTCACAACGCTTTTCTCCCGTCATCGCCGTCCCCTCGTCCATCCATTCGCGTTCCTCCCCCTTGTGCCCATCATGACGACAGTCGCCACACCCCCGATCGACTCCGCGCTGCCCCAACACCATCGCCTAGTCCTTAGGTTTCCTCTTATTCACGGGGCCTCGGCAGCGCCGAGTTTCCTCCCCCCCCCCCCCCCCCCCCCCCCCCCCTCCCCACTCCCTTCCTCCTTCCGCGGCGAAAAGTTCGGCAGGATCCGCGAATCAAATACTAGTAGGAATTATAAATCAGAAGCTGCAATTATAAATCAGAATGTGCGACTCACCACTCGCTCTCAACACATAACGCCCTCAAGAGGGCTCACCCACATTCTCCCATCGCTCCTCGTTTCACTGCGCGCCTTCGTCTCCTCTCTTCTCAGTCGCCGCACCTTCAAGGTCCCACCCATTTCACCTCGTCGCGATTACCAGCGGCGTGAGTCCCGGCGGTTCAGCTCTGATCTGAAAGTTTCCGCCATTCCGCTGTCATCACGATCCGCGCCTCCCGCCTTCCCGTTTCCCCGCGCCGACGCCTGTCGCCATGAAGCCCTGCGCGCGCCTGTCCGGCCTGTGTGGCCTCGCCGCACTCGTCGCGGGTGTCGTCGCCATCAGCTTCCTCGCGACCCACGCCAGCGCCAGCGCTGTTGATGGTGGTGAAGTTGGTGAGTAGGCTGACTGCTAATGCTGATGGTGAGCAGGCTGACTGCTAATGCTGATGGTGAGTAGGCTGACTGCCACACACCACCGGCAGTAGGCTAGTAGTGCTGGCGTGTGGACGAGTGCTGGAGTATGGGGGAGTGCACAATATAAGCAGAATCTATCTTGTTTTGACTCCCTTTTCCTACCTTGCTTCTGTGCTGTTATGTGCGCCTTTTTGTCCTTACTTGACTCCATCGCGATTCCTGTGCAGATCTGTGTGCCACGAAGGATTGTGGGGAAGCCACGTGCACTGTTGATGTGGACTTTGGGGCCGACTGCGTGTGCAAGGATGGATTTGTATTCGACGAAGGCCACAAGACGTGTGTGGGTGAGTGCTGGTGTGTGGGGGAGTGAGCGTGTGTGGGTGAGTGTGTGAGTGTGGGTGAGTTCACAGTTCACAATCACAATCAGTGCTGGTGTGTGGGTGAGTGCTGGTGTGTGCCTCATTTCACCCGCTTTCACCTTTTCACGTCGGAACCCCCCATGACTTCCTCTGCAGACCCGTGTGCTGGCGGGGTGTGTGGGGTAGAGGCTTCCTGCACTGCTCTCGCTCCTACCGAATTCTTTTGCTATTGCAAAGGCGGTAATAGCTTCAACGAGGCGGACAAGACGTGCTTTCGTGAGTGCTGCACTGCTGAGCTATACACACTTCATTTGTGGCACTCGCATTTTAGCATCTCAGCGTTTCAGCAGGCTGCACTGAGAGGCAATGCTTGGAACGTTCACCCCTCACTTTTCAAGCACCCTCCCCCCTGTCTGCCCCCTTCCTCTCCTCTCCCCTGTCCTGCTCCAACTCGACGCCTTTACCCCCCAATCGTCGTCACGCAACCTCCTTGTAACGGCTGGGCAGCCCCGCTGGCGCGGACGACGGTGGCACTGAAGGCAAGAGGCTTCGGCCTGACGGACGCCTCCTTCTTGTCGCCGCTGCCGGCCGAGCAGGCCAGTGCCGCTCGCACCACCGTGTGCGGCAACCTGGACATCATGCTCGAAGGCTCCACCAAGATCTCTGTCGTGTGGAATGCCTCCAAGCCCGCCTCGCATGGCGACGACTCGCCCAGCAGCGCCATGTGCAAGAGCCTGTCGTTCTACGCCGAGTCGTTCTGCACGAAGAAGCTGGGCTTTACGATCGCCCGGCCTGCAAAGAAGGGCAGCTCCTATCCCGTCACGATCAAGTGAGTGCGCGTGATGCAGGCGACTGACATGGTTTGTTCCGCTGTGCTTCCAGCGCATGGTACGACGCTCTTCTATCACCAGAAATCGCTTGACCGTCGTAGCTGTAGTGTGAATGGACTGATTGTCCTCACTCGTCCTCACCTTTGGTCTTCCCAATTCTTACCTCTCCCAATCTCAGGAATGTCAAAGGAATCCGTTCGCTGTTATCAGTTGGCTGCGAGATCAGTAAGTGCGAGCGCATGCACGTTACGCTGGTGTTATTTTCGCTTCACGTAACGAGCGTCACGCGCACATTAGAGAAGTTCTCGATTTTCCAAGCACACCAGCATGTGTACATTCTGATGAAACCAATGAAATGGAAGAGATACCATAAGAGAGAGCAAGACACCCAAGCTCTTCTTTTTCGTGATTCTTTCATTCGCCTCCCCATGCCTGGAAACCCATTCCCTCCTTCTACGTGCCTGAATTGTTTGTCCCTCTGTGGTGCTCACAACAGCCATGTGTGAGAATGACTGTGGAAGTGCTCAGTGCGTTGTGAAGGAGGGCCAGCCGCAGTGCCAGTGCCCCGAGGGCCTCGTGTTCAACGCCGCTAAGAAGCGCTGCCTCGACCCGTCTCGTGCTCCTCGTAGGCGGCCCTAGTTGGATGGGCAGGGGCCAAGGACGTCGTATCGTTGGGGGGCTGATGGAGCAGCGGTGCGAGCAGCTGCATGCGGTTGCTTGGAGGCTAGGAAACTGTTTGCCTGACAGGTTGGCTGGGTGTATGGTACTAGAAGGAATGGGACTACCGTACCAGTGTGTGTGGTTTCTGGTATGTTGTACAATAGAATATACCTTTACTTCCTTCAGACGGTTTGTTTGCTTTGAAAATGTCACAATGGCATTTATATGCTACCCTGGATGTGTGTGACGGTGTGTCACACGCGCCGCGTAACCGTTTGCATGTTTCGCGTATAAGTATTCGCTCATGCCTTCGTTCATACCTTGTATTCGTTTGACAACCTAGTGCAATCCTCGCTATCTCGTTCCATTGCACCCGTAACGCATAGTTTCAATATTGCATTTTGACGCACTTCACTTTTGCATTTTTATGTTTTCTACTGCCCTCCCTCACGTTGAATTGTTCTACCCTCGATATTGCAATCATCGCTTTCTCGCACGTTTGCAACCCTCCCTGCTCAACAGTGCGCCACGGCCCTGCCGTCTCGATGTTGCCACACTCGAATTAGGTGAAGGTTGGACTGGTGGGAGGTGAGCCCCAGCGGGGGCCCAACCCGTTTGTTTACAGTTCATGGATCGCGGCTGAGGACGGTTCCAGACGATGTACAACGGTTATTGAAATTTACCGTACTGCACCATGACAGAACGAGTCAAACCGCAAAGAACGTACGGAAAGCGTACTTCAAAATTTCCTTGGTAAGTGTTCATCTTCTCATAGTTAGGATAGGAATCCTTGAATGGTAGAGATACTTTGGTTTTGTCTATCAGTAACCGGCGAACCCACTGCATCCCGGCGGAGCGCGTTACCTCACTCCTTAGGGCTGTGTTCGAGGCGCTCCTCAATCTGCCGAAATAGCGAACCTGCGGTTCAATTGACCCAGGGATAGTAAACACTGTCAAACATTGTATATGTTTGTGCTTTGTAGGCTGTAGTGGGTTTAGCCTTAGGGGGTACAATCTCTAGGGTTTCATACTTGTACTCCCAACTTTCCTAGTTCAATCATTCTTGTTCTCTCTAAGTTTCTAACATGGTATTACGAGCCTAGGTCGTAACCTAGGACCGAACGATAGGGCCCACCGTTTCCGCATAGTCGCGCCCTAGCGCGCCTCGCCTAGTCGCGCCCTCGTGCGCTCTCCTCTCTCACTCACTATCGCGCGCCCTAGCGCGCCTATCGCGATCGGCCCCGCCTAGCCCGCACGCCCTAGCGTGCCTCGTGCGATCGGCCCCGCCCACCTCGTACGCCCTAGCGTGCGACCCCCGCAGCACCACGCGCGTCGCCTGCCCCGCGCGCCCTTACGTGCCCCGTGCGGCCCCGCGCGCTCGCTGCCCCGCGCGTCCGTGCGCCGCGCCCCTTCTCGCGCGCCCTCACGTGCCCCGTGCGACCGGCCCACACCCACCCGCGCGCCCTTGCGTGCCCCTCGCGTACCGGCCCCGCCCAGCTAGCCCGCCCTTGCGTGCCTCGTGCGACCAGGTCCCACCCCACTAGCCCGCCCTTGCATGCCCCGTGCGACCAGGCCCCGCCCTCGCTAGCCCGCCATTTCGTGCCCCGTGCGGACTGGCACCGCTCTGACCTGCACGCCCTCGCGTGCCCCACCTCGAGTAGCCGCCGCCTAGCCGAGCCGAGCCGCCCCACCGAACCGCGTCGCCCGGCCCGAGCCGCGCCGCCCTACCGAGCCGCGCCACTGCTGCCCTCACTGCTACAGACGCTACTGCTGTTCCTGCTGCTACTACTGCTACTGCTCTTCCTGCAACTATGGCTAGCCCTGCTGTGCTCGCTTTCGATGCTGAGGGCCGCCCGCTGAAGTTTGACACCTGGCTAGATGACTTGCACCTGTTCCTCCAGCTCACTGCCAAGGAGGATATCTCGCTGTACGATCACGCACTAGGACTCGCTGCTGCCCCTGCTGCTACTGCTGACAGTACTGCCCGCTCACAGTGGCAGACTCGTGACGCCCACGCTCGCTTTGCTATTCGCAACTCCCTGCCGGTAGATGAGCGCGAGCACTTTGGCCAGCACAAAACTGCGCAGGCACTGTACACTGCTGTAGTTGCACGCTACTCCTTACCTACCTCTGCTGCGCTAGGCCGTCTCTCGCTCCCCTACCTGTTCCCAGACCTGTCCGCTTTCTCCACAGTCGCTGACCTCATCACGCACCTCCGCACTAGTGAGGCCCGCTTCCGTGCCGCTATGCCCGCTGAGTTTCTTGCCACCCACCCCCCCCCGCTCTGGCTCACTCTCTACCACCTTGTCACCCGTCTCCCTGACTCTCTTCGTGCGGTCAGGGACCACTTCCTCGCTCGCTGCCCCACTGAGCTCACCGTTGATCTGCTCGAGAAGGAACTGCTTCCCGCTGTTTCTTCCGTGACCGCACTCCCCTTGAGCAGCTTGCTCGGCCGGTTGCAGCCTCCCTCGCTGACCCCTCTGGGGGTCCGGTCATTGCGACCTCCTCCAATGTCCTCCCTTGTCCTGCGGTCCCGCCAGGCACACTGTCAGGTCTCTACCTCCCCTCGTTCTCTACGAACTTGGTGGCGGGTCGTGCGCTCCAGGACGGGGGTGTCCACCAGTTCACCCCTGCCTACGAGCGCGTGACACACTGCACGTGTGCTCGGACGGGTCGCCACCTGGCTACCTTCACTCGGCAGCCGGGGTCGGACCTGTACACACTAACCACTGAGTCCCCTCAGGTAGCTGCGTCTGCGTCTGCGTCAGGTCAGCTGTCTGCCCCCTGCTCGTGTCGCTCCTTGGCACACGAGACCGTCCTCTAGCACCACCGCCTTGGTCACCCGTCAGTGCAGCGCCTTCGTGGCATGCACTCCCGGTACCTTGTCTCTGGTCTTCCCAGGGTTCTCCCTCCCCTCCCACCCTCGCCTGCTCCTCCCTGTCTGCCCTGTGTCGAGGGGCGGCAGCGCGCCGCTCCTCACTCCTCCTCGTTTCCCCCGACGACTGCTCCCTTGCAGACGCTCCACATGGACGTGTGGGGCCCAGCCCGCGTCCGTGGACAGGGTCAGGAGAGGTACTTCTTGATAGTTGTTGACGACTACTCGCGCTACACCACGGTCTTCCCCTTGCGCACCAAGGGTGAAGTCCCTGATGTTTTGATCCCTTGGATCCGCGCTGCCCGTCTCCAGCTCAGCGAGAGGTTCCACTCGGACTTTCCTGTCCTGCATCTGCACTCTGACAGAGGTGGGGAGTTTTCCTCCGACCTCTTGAGGGCCTTCTGTCAGGGGGAGGGCATTGAGCAGTCGTTCACGCTTCCGGCCTCTCCACAGCAGAATGGGGTTGCTGAGCGCCGCATTGGCTTGGTCATGGAGGTCGCTCGTACCTCCTTGATCCATGCGGCTGCCCCCCACTTTCTGTGGCCGTTTGCAGTCCGGTACGCCGCGCATCAGCTCAACCTCTGGCCCCGTGTCTCCTTGCCGGAGACCTCGCCCACACTGTTGTGGACGGGGAAGGTTGGCGATGCGTCGCGTTTCCGGGTCTGGGGATCTCGTGCTTTTGTCCGCGATACGTCCGCGGACAAGCTCTCCTCCCGCGCTGTTCCTTGTGTCTTCCTTGGCTTTGTCCCGGACGCGTCTGGTTGGCAGTTTTACCACGCCACCTTGCGCCGTGTCCTGCCCTCTCAGGACGTCACCTTCGACGAGTCGGTCCCCTACTACCGCCTCTTCCCCTACCGCACTGCCCCGCTCCCCCCCCCGCCTCTCTTCCTCGCACCAGGTGCTGCTGTGGTAGACCCCCTCCCCCCTCAGGGTGCCGCTCCCTCAGGTGTGTCCCAGGTAGACCCGGTTGAGCCTGTCGAGGTAGCTGTCGACTCTCGTCCTGCTAGGGGTGCTGAGCCTGGGGGTGCGGAGCCTGGGGGTGCTGAGCCTGAGCGTGCGGAGCCTGGGGGTGCGGAGCCAGGGGGTGCTGAGCCTGCTGGTACGGAGCCTGGGGGTGCGGAGCCTGGGGGTGCTGAGCCTGAGGTTGCTGAGTCTGGGGGTGCTGAGCCTGAGAGTGCTACGTCTGAGGGTACTGAGCCTGGGGGTGCTGCGACTGACCGTGCGGCGCCTGGAGGCGCTCCCTCTTCACAGCAGCTGCGTGAGTGGTACTCGCGGTACTGCAGCCTCAGGAGGGGCGCTTCTGGGGCTAGGGGTGCTGCTGGAGCTGGTGCTCGTGGTTCATCGCCTAGGCAGGAGCCGCCCTCTCCCCAGCGGCTCCGAGAGTGGTACGCTCGGCGCTGCAGTCTCCGGAGTGGCGCTACTGGTGCTTTGGACCCTGGAGCTGGAGCTGCTGCTGGTGGTGCTGCTGGTGGTGCTGCTGGTGCTGGAGCTGCTGGAGGTGCTGCTGGTGCTGGAGCTACTAGAGGCGCTGCTGGTACTGGAGGTGCTGCTGGTGCTGCTGGAGGTGCTGCTGGTGCAGGTGCTGCTGGAGGTGCTGCTAGTGCTGGAGCTACTGGAGGCGCTGCTGGTACTGGAGGTGCTGCTGGTGCTGCTGGAGGTACTACTGGTGCAGGTGCTGCTGGAGGTGCTGCTGGTGCTGGAGCTACTGGAGGTCCTGTTTGTGCTGGAGCTGCTGGAGCCGCTGGTTCTGGAGGTGCTCGTACTGGAGGTACTGGAGCTGCTGGGACTGGAGCTACTGCGGGGGTTGGAGCTGGAGGTACTGGAGCTGCTGGGGTTACTGGTGGTGCTGCGGGAGTTGTCGCTGGAGACCCTGGGGCTGAGGGTGCTGGTGCTGTCTCTGCTGGTTCAGGAGGTGCTGAGCGGCCGCGGCCGTACTACGTTCCGCTCCTTCAGCAGGTTCTTGGCCTCCCCCCCTCCACTGGTCCTTCTCCTCCCCTACTCAGTCCACCACCTGTCCAGTCGCAGTCACAGTTACCGCTTGCCTCTCCGCTACCTGGTCCTTCTCCTTACGCTGGGCCGACTAGAGGTCTTACGGAGCGTCGTG